ATCTGTCCGCTGTTAGACGCTCGGGTAGTACGAAAGGCCCAATTAAGTTATTGTCAATCATTCCACACCATATATTTACAGAGAATTTTACCTGAAAATTTGTTTCAACACTGGTATGTGAATTATCCTCAGACCAGCAGTGATCACTTGGACTGTTATTGATTCCATTACGAGTGAAAGTGGCTTCATCAGTAAAAAGTATTACAAAATTCACAAAATTCCAATCTCCTGGAAAAGTCTGTTGGTTCAAGGTGTTGTACTGGTTGAACATGGAATGGATACAAGGTATGAGTACGCAATGTTTTCATACTTTTACATGAGGAACACCAAGACGAGCAAAAAGTCTTCTTGTACTGGTTCAGAGTTCAGAGTTTGCACACCTGCACGTTGAGAATGAATACTTGTACTTGGAACAGAACCGGTTTCATGCAATCTGTTGAATGTTCGAGTAAATGCTTTTGAATCTGCTAACACTTGGTTAGGAAACCATCTCCTATAGTCACGACGAGCAATACGTACATTTCCATTGCAGAATATTCTGCATGAGTCAATATGTGTGGCATTATCAACAACTTAGTCGACACGTCAACCAAATAATGTTAAATGTCATACATTGACAACAGTTTCACAACAGCCGTGCGTTATATCAATTTATGCATTAACTGACTGTATCTCAATTACCTTTGAGAATTGAGCACATGTTTTTAGGAACTATTCTGCTTAAAATGAACAAATCTATAACATATTAACGTATGTACTATTCCTCATGAATCACCCTGTATTATGAACCATAAATCTTAAAGTAACAACATTGCAACACACGAATAGAAAAAATTAATTTGCTAATTCAAACCCAACCCATCCCATGCGTGACGTCACAAACGGACCTTCGAGCTGTCCATCTGTTACTGTTATGGCACTTATGTAACACTTATATTCTACCGTCCATGGTATAAATCCGAATTTGTGTACATTAAAATTATTCATTCAAATTTTATCATGTAACTGACTTTTAGCTACAACAGACACTTCCTTCCCCGTATTATTCCGTTATATCGAGGTCTCACTGTATTTCATCATTAAATTGTTTACGTATTTTTTTAGAGTTTACTTTTACGAGGTTTGGGAAGGTCAAAAATTTTATTTAAAAATGTTTCTTTATCAGCTATTGTTACATTGGCATTAAGACCTTTGATTTCTGCAAATTTTTCCGATAAGTTAATGACTATGTTTTTGATTCATATTTTATCAGTTCCTGGACTTATTCAACACTTAGAAACATTAACACCTGAGGTAAAAAAAAATGGATAATTTAGAAATAATTTTGTTTAAAAGTCATCATTTTAGTGCATATCCAAATTAGTTTCGCATAAAATATTTCCGAAGAGTTTGGAGTTGTTGGCAAGCCAACAATCAATGAGAATTGTGTTTAATACGTTAGAAGGAAATTATGCTTTATGTTTATTAGCAAATTTACTTCAATTGGCCCAAGTCGAAAAAGACACAACTTTACCTGAATTATGTTTTCCTACTTTCACTGTAAGAATAATTTTTTTTTTAATTTAATTTAATACATTTTAATTCTTTTAAATGAAAAGGTTGTTATAACTGGATTATTAGAAAGTTGCCAAAACTATGTAGTTAGTAAACAATCAAACTTAACACATTGGCATCCAGTTTTGGGTTGGTTTGCTCAACCAATGGATCCATCTTTACATGCTGCAATGCCCCATGTTAAGACTCAATTACATATTTTATGGAATTCACAAATGATATCAATTTTATTAGGTTTGAATTATTTAAAATTTTTACTAAACGTTTTTGTTAAATTTTTTCTAATTTTATAGGTAATTATTTATCAGAAATGGTTAAAGATGTTTCATTACCTCAAGTAGCAGCAAGTCCAACTACGTCTCATTTTAGTGGTGCTAATTTTATAAAAAGAGCTTTAGAATCTCGCGGAAATCGAGCCAATACCCAACGAGTTTATCGATCGTTGGGGAGTCCAGAGGTTTATCGTATCGTTCTTTTATGTTCCATGTATCATACAGCATTGAATACATTAACTCAATTAAGACTTGATATTTTAACCGGTAAATTTATTTATAACGAAAATTATTTTAAAAAATTGTTACTTTTTTTTGTTATTTAGGTTTGTGTTATCAAGGAGAAATTTTATATAATTTATGGTTATTTCTTTGTTCGCTTGGACCAAATTGTGGAATAAAAACTTTTCTGGATCATTTAGCTTTTCATACTAAAAGTAGCACACCTGAATTTCAACTTTTACAATTATTTGCGGATTGTATGACACATTACATAACGTAAGAAATATATGAGTACAGTGGAGTCTTGATAATCTGAGTTTAACTAAAACGGTTGTAACTTGAGAACAAAATTTGAATCTGATTTTTTTGAACTATGTAAAACTTACGTATATACTTATACGTAAATAAGTATATACTTAAATTATTTATTAAAAAAGATAGTGATTATTTTTCTTTTGCAAACATCATCTTTTGCATTAATTTGTACAAAACGTGTTTCTGTCATTTTCTTGTCATTACACTTCTTCATCACATAGTCATCGCCGTAATTGGGGGCTTGCAATAATGATGAAAATTTAGAATGTACTTGTTATTTTGAAATTTCATCATCGTTAAAATATTTTCCACGTTTCGCTGTCTCAGAAAACTAAGCACATAAAAACCAAAAAATTCCCCCTATTTTTATCCATAGTGCCCTAAAACACCAGCAACTAATTACTGACTTAAAAGCGAACACAAAACACAGTTTCACTACTACGTACAAAAAATCAAATACCAAAGTAAACCTAACCCATGCTGATGATTACAGAGCGGTCACCAAATTCTACAAAGAAAACAAAATTCCGTTCCATACCTATCAAGATCCCTCCAGTAAACCTCTTTCTGTGATCTTACGCAATGTCCCGATATCAATATCCAATCAAGAAATCAAATCCGAATTGAATCAACTAAACCTACCAGTCATAAGAGGCACGAGATTGCTCAATAAGTCAAAATACCCCATAGCTTTATGCGCAGCAGACCTAGAAACCATAGAGAACGCCAAAGAAATCTATCAAGTCATCTTTATGCATGATATCCCGACTGACGTAAACTTCGAAATAGCCATGTTTGCGGATGACATGTTAATAATGAGAGAAAACGACATCCTTATTGATGCTATTGAGACACTTCAAAGGTCAGTGGACAAAATCCAGAAATGGTTATCAAAATGGGTCATTCTGCTCAATGCCAGACCAAGATTTTTTCGCTAAGACCTTATCGAAATGCTCCTTACATTATTATAAACGATCAAGAAATGCAGTGGAAAGCAAAAGATGAAGCCATTAAATACCTCGGAGTCCTCCTTGATCACCGCATCACTTGAAAACTCCACATAAACTGAAAGGTCAACCAAGGATATACCAGGCTTCGCCAATTGTATCCTCTGATCAGCAAAAAAATCACCAGGAGCTCCATGAAGACTTAAATGTCCCAACTATCAGCGAATTTATTAAAAAACTAACTAAAAAGTTTAGGTAGCGACAAATTTCTTGTTCTTAAAGGTAAATTTTTTGAGAACCCATCTTTAGCACAATTTCATTGCAAATTCTTATAAATTTGTGGATATTTTCAAAACTAAGTTTGTACAGAACTAAAAGAAAGTTAGGAGTAGTTGAATTCGGGTTACTTAGACTCTGCTGTATTCAAATTAAGTATATCACGATTAAAAACATCACTTTTAATTAATAAAAAAGATTCGTAATTACTTTGATGTTAAATTTTAGTGTAGAAATACTTTCTTATCATCAAAAATTTGTATATGTATTTCATTCATTTTCACATATGTTTTGGTTAATGTGCAAATTTCCAAATGTTGGTGGGTATCCATTTCAAGTGATACAAGACAGGTTGGGTAACTGTTCCACTAAATGTACTGATTATTGCATTTGTAGAGGTTTACATTGACTTATGTTATACGGAACTGACGAATCCTAGGTTTATAAATTAAGAAACATTTTATTCGTCAGACTATCTATTACATATACTATATTTGCTAGCTTTACAGCGATTGTTTCGAATATCGGCCGGAACATACCAATATAGGGTTCGATATTATCATCAAATATCCTGCATACAACTTTATCAAGATCAAATTTCTGTCACCTAACACCACACCCTTCTTACAGTCAATGAATGAGCAGGTAATTTCAAACTTTAAGTAGCTATACATATACGAAAGCTTTTTTTCACGGTGTATCCTGGTGACTAATGATACAGATTTGACCCAGCAAGATTTCTGGAAAAATCATTTCAATATTATACACTGCATAAATTTCATTGATATAGCCTGGAACAATGTCTTTTGCCGTACATTGCAGTTAACATGAAGAATACTTTGGTCAACTTTTGTGCCTGACAGACATTTTAAAGACTTTGTGGAGGAGGCAGATATGGTACAAGACATTGTCAAAAGTTTGGAGTTCGAAATCATCGAGGATGATGTGGTAGAGTTACTGCAGAATGATAGTCAAGAGCGCACTCCAGAAAAACTTGAGAAGGAATTGCAACTTGAGCATGTGAAAGCTATGGAGAAGGAACATTCAGCAAAAGAACATGTGGTGCCAGATGCTTCAACTGCTGAAATAAAAGATATTTGCAATAAGTGGAATGATGTGCAGACTTTTATTGAAAAATATCACCCTGACAAAGCTGTTACCAGTAGGGCAGTGGAAATTTTAAATGATATTGTAATGGCACATTTTCGTAAAATTCATGTTTCTTGTAAACAATTTTTTGATTTTGTATTTCAAATTCTATTCATGTTTCAAATAGGAAGTATTTTCCATTTTATATATCAACACTGTAGAAGTATTTTCTTCACATCTTCATGCATAAAATGAGTTTTACAACAAAATTCTTAAATATTTTACACATTACATTATTTCTACACTAAAATTTAAGTAAATTTAACAATTCTAATGTATATTGATTATGTTTGATTAGCTTGATACAAAACTTATGAATTACTAATCTTAATATAAAAGGAATAACTCATATGATTAATGAAAAAAAATATTTTATTAGAATTTTAGATGATATGGAAATGTACGAACAACAATATCCCTTTAGATTAACAGATTTAATCTTAATGTCAAGTTTTGTTAATGTATTTTTATACAAAGCGGTTTTGGGGAATTTATTTGATTTAAAAACGATACAAAGCAACATTCTATTCCAATCATTACACACGTTATTAATGGTGCTATATAAAAGAGATTGCAGAAGAAATTATTCGCCGCAAGGACATTGGTTGATTAAAGAGATTAAAATCTCAACGTTTATGACGGATTTAGATAAAGGGAGAAGAGCCCCGCAACTTTTATTGCAAAGTATGCCTCATATCATTCCTCACGAGGAACGAGTCCGTCTATTTCGGAAATATATCACTAACGAAAAAACCGTTTTGGGTTTAACAGAATCTGCTTGTGCTTCACCACAATCTACACTAATTACAATTCATCGGTAAGTAAAATAAAAAAGTCCTACAAATGATCTCTTAATTGTCTCAATTTAATATTATTATAGAGCAAGAATTGTTGAAGATGGTTATAGACAATTAGCTTTATTACCAGCTCAAGCTCTAAAAGGTGTAATTCGTGTACGTTTTATAAACGAGCAAGGTTTAGATGAAGCGGGAATTGATCAAGACGGTGTTTTTAAAGAATTTCTTGAAGAAAGTATAAAAAAAATTTTCGATCCAGCATTAAATTTTTTTAAAGGAACTAGTGAAGGACGTTTATATCCATCTCCGACGTCTTGTATGCAAGAAAACCATCTCCAATTATTCGAATTTGTCGGGCGAATGTTGGGAAAAGCCGTTTACGAAGGAATCGTCGTCGACGTTCCTTTCGCCCTTTTCTTTTTAAGTCAAGTGCTGGGACAAACCGCCCAAGCGCTTTATAGTTGCGTCGATGAATTGCCCTCTTTGGACGATGAATTGTATAGAAGTTTGAGTTATATTAAACATTTTAAGGGGGACGTTGCCGACTTGGATTTGACTTTTAGCGTTGATGAGGATAGTTTGGGGCAATTGGTTACGCATGAATTGATTCCCGGTGGAAAAGCTGTGCCTGTTACAAATGAAAATAAGTATGAAATTAAAATACGAAATTAATTAAAAATAAATTATTAAAAATTAATTTTTTAAGGATTAATTATATACATTTAATGGCACATTTTCGGATGCACGTACAAATTAAGGATCAAACAAGTGCATTTATTAGAGGTTTTAGGTCAATTATTAATCAGGAGTGGTTATCACTTTTTTCAACACCAGAAGTAAGTTGATAAAATCATAAATTATTTGAGTTAGATTATTTGTTTTTAGTTACAAAGATTAATTTCCGGTGATAACGTTCCGCTTGATTTGAGAGATTTGCGGAAACACACTCAATATTATGGAGGTTTTCATGATTCACATCGAGTTGTGTGTTGGTTGTGGGATATTTTAGAAAAAGATTTTACTGAAGACGAAAAAGGAATGTTCTTAAAAGTAGGGTGTATTCCATAAAGTTATTTTTTTTATAATTTTTTTAAAAATATCTTCAGTTTGTAACCAGCTGTTCAAAACCACCACTTCTTGGTTTCGCACATTTAGAGCCCCCTTTTTCAATAAGATGCGTTGAAGTGGGTGATGATGAAGACACAGGAGACACAATCGGCAGTGTAATTCGAGGATTTTTTACGATAAGAAAAAAAGATCCTTTGAATCGTTTACCGACGTCTTCGACCTGTTTCAATCTTCTAAAACTTCCAAACTATCAAAAAAAGAGTACTTTAAGAGAAAAACTTCGTTATGCTGTTACTTGTAACACTGGTTTCGAATTGTCGTAATGATTTTGATTGGGAAAAGAAAATGTATTTAAAATAATGAGAAAAAAAGTATTGTGATATCTGTTTCTATAATTAATTTAAATGTAAGTGTAAATAAATGTATATTTTTCAGGATGTCATATCATTTTGTAAAAAGAGATTTAAAGAAACAAATTGCTAAATTATTTCATTCAAAGGTGCAATTTTTATTTTGAATTGTTTAAAAGCAATCCTATTTTTTGCTGTGTAATATTAATGCGGTCTCAATGTGTATCAATAAGTGTTTAAATGTGACTGCTATGTAATTACTGGTGGATCAATTATGCTCATTTTAAGTTGTTATTATTTTATGTATACGTATTAAATTGTTATTGTATTGTGAAAGAAAATAAGACTTATATAAATAAATATATTTCCCAATATAATTGTGTAGCATTAAATTTCTTTTATTATTATTATAATGTTATTGTTTAATATTTAAGGAATATATTTCCATTAACTGTTGTTATTTAAAATAAGTTTGTCATCAAGAAATATTTTTAAACCTAACTAAACTGAGTGAAAGAATCAGAATTTAAAAGTAAAAGAGAAAGGAAAGTAATAACATTTTTAATAGCTCTAATATGACCTCAAAATCATTTTCTGGAATTAAAGTTGAAACGAGTTTATGACATGATTGATTTAATAAGTGTATGTCTATTAATTTTAATTCCTTAGAAAGGATAAGAGAAGGAATATTCTTAATAAACTGCTTCTTTAACCCTTATTTTATTTCCATCTACTATTTATAGCTTTTCAGTTAATTACCTTATTGTTTGAAATAAGAAATTTTGAACCTTGAGAATAATAGAAATAGATAATATATACAATTATTAAGTATTTTGTGGTTTAGATTTACTTTTTCGCGCAACATCGTCATTTTCAGTAAGAATTAAAAACTAATACGACGTTTTGATGGTACGTCCTAACAAAAATTAGGATTAAATTATGTTTAAAATTATACCATAAATAATGTCAGTAAATAGTTTTTAGTTATCCCTAAAATTTTTGCACAAGTAGGTTCTGTGCGGAGTTAAAGTAAAATAACTCCGTAACCATTAGCAACCGGCTAAAAATCGTGAAAAAACAACTATATTAAGTTTTGATTTAATGATGCTTGAAGACTCCGAACACAACTTCGAACTTGTTGCTGAAGAAGCTTGCAGTATGGCATCCGAAATGTTAAAAAAAAAAGACTCAGCAAGACGCTTAACCCGAAAGTTTCTAGAACTAGAAACTATCTAGTGTTAGTTCTAGTGATAGTGCCAGTGTTAGTTCTAATTTCAGTATAAATTTATCATTAAATGTTGAGACTGTTAACGATTCTTGTTCAAGTACTTTTATTATCTATCACCAATTTATAATACTAATTTGTACAAAATTTTGCAACAAGATAAATTTACACTTACAAATCTTGCATTTTGCGTATTTGGATCAAACAACCTTTGCAACTTGTCCAATATGATAAACATATCAAACTTCATCATATCATAACCCAAGAATCCTATTAAAAATTAAGCTTTTAAGAGAAATTAATTCTGTTGGCAACACAACTTTACTGTGCAATAAAATTGTTCTTTTTTCCACTCTTTAAACAGTTGGCAGTAAACATCATCAGATAAACCCAACACTACAAATTATGGTGGCCTAATTTCCATATATTCCTAGTTTCAACCATTAAGCAAAAGTTTATGGCCATTGTTTCCCATTGTTTAAGTATTGGTACTATTAAAGCCTGCTTAATTACATGGTTACCAGCAGTATATTCCCGTCCGATTTCTTATTAATTAATTTCGCCAAAGGATTGAACTACGCAATCGCCCCGAAGAAGGTCCCAAAAGGCCATTCGAAGGATGCCCGCACTAAAAGCCGAAGACATCCGACAAGAAGTTGCGAGAGTACTGAAATCAGCAAAACCACCGAAATCTAACTAGACGGTTGGTGAAAAGAAGGCACTCCGGTCTATTAAAAAAAAGTCAGAAATCGTCGTATTACCAGCAGACAAGGGGAATGCCACCGTTGTAATGGACCAGAAAGAATATGACAACAAAATGATGAACCTACTGGACCCAGCCACCTACAGGAAGATCAAGAAGGACCCCACAGACAGAATCGTAAGGAAAATGAAGGACTTGATAAAATCCACAGGAATTCCAGCAGAACAGCAGAAAGGATTGTTTGTGCAGGCGCCGGTACCACCAAGAATTTATGGACTACCGAACATCGACAAATTAAACCAATAAATATTCAGAGCTGCTTAGTCATTGTGGGACCCCTAACTTCAGATAAAAAAAACGCATCTCCAGACACTCTTAGACCTTTTATTAACATGTGCAAATTGAGTAAAACTTGCCAATGATTTATCACACATTAATAAAATCTTGTTTTTTAAAGAATTAAGAGCGGTTTTGCAAAAAGGTCGGTAAGAATCCTAACAACGACTAATGAACATTTATTTTCTAAACCCATTGCATCTTAGTCGCAACTGAGGTTATCCTTGAAAATCTGATCAAATGCTATGATCAAATCCTTCTTTAATAGTTTTTAGATGACTTCATTTTGTACTTCATATGAAATTATAAAATCTAATTCACTTTTTCATTAGATTCCCATTAGCTTAAATGAAAGTGATAGCGACCTTTGTACTAAAAATAGGAAAATTAAATCACCAAGACTTAATAGCCTTTCAGGACATTCGATAGTCCTAACCTGGCATCGCAGCCGCTCGACGTAAGATAAAAGTTTCTAGAACGCAAAGAGCTGTTGTAAGAGATTGCCGGCAAAGAGGTGTACTGCCACCACTTATTGGTAGATTAACAGACGTCATACTCACTCTTGGTTAACTTCTAACTAATTTAGCGTCTGCGTCTTAAAGATTTGAAATGAAGCTTCTACTTACGATATAGAATGGAGAAAGAACTATGAAGAATGCTACAATGGTTAGAATGATGTTCGCATTTAAAGCTAAATGTTGCATCAATTGTCTGAATTGTATTGCTACACCCTTGATCAAGATTGAGCACATCTTGAAGTTATTATCCTCAGATTATTTTCATTACTTAGGTTTTTAAACTGCATATTTGGTAGTGAACTTCAATAGTTACTCAGTGATAGAGCTAAGAAAACTACATTTCTCTTGCTAATAGCAGTAGCAAACTAAGGCTTTTAGAGCAGAAGCGAGAAACACCATAAGCTCCTATCACCGTTTGAGGATAAACCAAAAACTGAACAAATCTTTTAAACTCCCCTTCTCATTCCTAACAATTAAAAAAGACAAGATTTGGCCTTTAGAAGTGGCCTCTTGTACTTCATTATTTATAATTTAATGTCTGATACTGAATGCAAGACTTTATTCAGAGAGTTCCAGAGGAATATTTGGTAATCTAGAATCTCGTTAGAAATGTTTCTCATCTTTTAAAGCAGGTCTTTTTTGCTTTAAATGAATATATCCATCAAAATTGTTTTTATACAATGAATTGAAGTTTAGACATTGAAACTTTGAGACTAAATCCGAATTTGAAAGAAATTTTTGGATTTGACACGTAACAATGTGACTTTGACAATTACTTTAGTACAACGATATAGAAAATCAAAGGGTAGCTCTTTCTGCTGTTCTGGATGGGTATGAAAGACTGAGAAAGTAAAAGTTGAGTAACACTATTCAACGTTAACGTTGACAGTGGCAAGAACAAGTGTTTTAAAAAGTTTACATAAAAGTACCACAGACCAATTCAAAGCCTTTATGATTACTTGAAGTTGAGAGTTACATATATATAATTTCTTGATATAAACTTTCTGTTCAGCAATGATTCTTGCTACGTTTTGGAGTCTATTAATATTTATATTATTAAATGTTGTGAGTAATGATGATTATAAGGTCCTGCAAAATATGATGATCAAACGATAGAAAACATCCAGAAATAATAAACAGGTTATGGAAGCATTATACGACATTGAAGAGTATATAAAGCATTGTGGAGCTTGTACAATTTGCCAAAGTTAAAACTGTGAGTTCCAAATATCAGTTCTTCCAAATTTTGTGAAAATTAAGTTAGCATTAATCGTCTGTAGAAGAAAAAAATTCAGTAGATATTACAATATTATATTTGAATATATAAATTTTAAAGAAATTGATGTATACAATATTCGTCGGTGTACAAAAAAAAATTAATGTTTCATACTTTTGATAATCGCTGTATATAAACCTCTAGTTAAAAGGTATCAGCTGTTTGACGTCAGCGCATGCGCGTCAATGGCTCCATCGAACTCTTTCCGTCCGTTCACGCACACGCGAACCAGTCACTAACAAGAGATCGTGGAGGTTACGTCGCCTAACCTCAAAAAAACTCTATTCCCCCTTTATTTTTTATTTACTCAGTTCCTGTTCGGACATAAAGACCGTCGATACACACGCGGGGCCCCCATCCTAAAACAAACGAACCAGAAGAAATACAAACTATAAACGCACGCGTCGAGTCGTTTTCTTTCCTTTCGCGGGGCCCATTTTCTTTTTTTTGTTCGCGCTTAGTGTTAGTATTATTTAAGTTCGAAGACAAAAGGAGCCGGAGCAGCACCATCAGAAGCAACAGAGTAACAAAACGGCTATTCGTAAGGTCGAAACTGGTTCTTACTGAAAAGCAATGAGTTGTGCGGTGAACTAAGGACCAGCCAAAGGTGGTCGCATTTGATGGCTGTCGTGGGACCCAGTCGCCACTCTCGGGTGTCCATGTCTGTGTCTATGTCCTTAATGCAGGGTGCCGCGAGCACTACGGCGACCGGGCAACAGGGCGGATTGCACGGGGCCCAACCGTATTATCATCCGCAACATGCCGCGGCACCGGCTCATACACAGGAACAAGTACAACCGGATCGACCCATTGGTTATGGAGCCTTTGGAGTTGTATGGTAAGTTACAATTTTTACTTTGTTTTTCATTTAAACCTTCATAATTTTATTCAAAGAAAATCGTTAAAGGATATTCGTTTTTGACATTGACAAATGTCACTTTTTTTTTTGAGGTTAGGTTTTCATTTTATTAAAAAAAAGCGGGTTTAAACTATTTTTTCTAAAGCAATCGTATTTAAGATTAATAATTAATCATTACCAATTATTATTTTCAGTAGAAATTGTTTATTATATGGGATAGTTTTAGAATGTTAAAGATATTAATTTTTGACATTGACAAATGTCACTTTTTTTTTTGAGGTTAGTTTTTCATTTTATAAAAAAATTTTATATAAATTTAAGATTAATAATTAATCATTACCAATTATGCATTATTTTCAGTAGAAATCGTTTGTATGTATAAAATTGTTTATTTTATGAAACAGTTTTAGAATGTGAAAGATATTAATTTTTGACATTGTCAAATGTCACTTTTTTTTGAGGTTAGCTTTCCATTTTATAAAAAAGCTGTTTTAAACTATTTTTTCTAAAGCAATCGTATTTAAGATCAATAATTAATCATTACCAATCATTATTTTTAGTAGAAATCGTTTGTATATATAAAATTATTTATTTTGTGGAATAATAGGGAGAAAAAATATTTTTTTGAGGTTATGTACAAAATTTAGGTTATAAATTGCTTCTATTTTGATTGTAACGAATCAACATTTAAATAAATCACGAATTTAATAATTAAATGGTAATAACGACCCCTTAATTATTTTAAATATTTCCATCGACGTATTAAAGGTTAAAGAACAACAGATTTTAAGTAAATGATGACCGAAATCATGATCTAAAACGTGTTGAAGGTTACCCTGTGACGGTCGGACGTTGGCAATTTTATTATAAAAAATAGTTTTTAACCTTAATTTATCTATTATAACGGCTTTAATTATTTTGTATGACCTTTAAATGATGGAACCTAGAAATTTAATAATATAATTGTGAAATTCTTAGCCAATAAAGTAGTAACTACTTAAAACATTTAACATTAAAAAAAAATATTTAAGCACGTGTTGTAAACAAGTACAACCACAAATATTAAAAAAAAACATTTATATCTCCTTGATATAAAAGTGTCGTGACTAACACGAGGCCTCCTTATCTCAAAACATTTATCAAGCTTGATACTGAATAAATAGTAATTGTTTCGGTTTTTGTTTTGATAATACAAATGTTTTTTAATCTAAAGAACGTCAAATTCTTCTAGTGCCTCAGACGTGTCAATGTTGGAAAATTGTTTGTGACAAATAATTTTCGGAACTATAGTCTAGATAATCTACATCCATATTAACTGTAGCTGTGTTATCTGTGTTAGTAAGTATTGATGAGCCACTTCTACTTGACAGTTCCAAATTGGTATTGATGATTTCATTGGGAGCTGCACTTACTATCAACAATACTAGTACTAGTATTATTTGTGCATATACCTCACTTTGTAATTTGGGATTTTAGTTTCAGGTCATGGGGAATATTATTTTGCTTAGACGAATGCATTCCTATATAAATGTTAAAGCTTCTTTCGCACTCCGCTGATGTTGTTGGGAGCTGAAGAAAATTTGCAGCTTCTTTTGATAGTTCTGTCCTTTTACAAAAATCGGACCATTAAGCAATGGATAAGATTTCCAGTGAATTACTATGTGATTTATATTAAAATAATTAATTTCCACGTTTCTTTGCAAGTTTGCTTCATTTTGAAAAAGAAGTTATCTTCAGGTAGATTTGTACCTGGTACATAAACCATAAGAAAAATTTTCCGCTGGGCGAATTTCAACGGCAGGTCCTTTTTGGGGTCGACCTTCCGTTTCCACGAAGTGTATTGGAATTTTGTTAGGTAGAAGTTTCACCTTGGCCGGAGGCACTTTTTTTTGTATCTAATCCAGTTGTGGGAGGCTTTTGAATAAGCTGAAAAAGGAAGGTTCTTTCTTCAAAAGAAGAACAAAGAAAACATAAATAGAAGACCCTCTTTTAACTAGTTTTCGAGGGTTTTGGGAAGAACCAAAAATATATTCTTTGTTCCCAAGTTTCTAAAATTATTTCTTAGTAAAAATTTATTTCAGTGTTAAGACACGGTGAACAAAAATTAAAATATTTTTCTAAATTTCTTTTTTGGGTTAATCGAGGACGGTTCAAAAGTCGTTGACGTCGCGTTGTTTGACATTGGGCCTCTTGGGATTCTTTTCTCACGCCACCACCACCGTTTCATCCGAACGTCATTATTGGAAATTGACAACCGTGCAACGTCCGCACCAAACGGACCAACAACAACGAACAAATCGAGTAGGCCGTTAATACTCCAACGTGCGCGCCATCTGACCGCAAAGCGCTCCATTACGACTAACGCATTTCGGGGTTGTATTGAATTCATGGCTTGTCAACGAACCGCATGAATTTTCGTTTGTTTTTACCCTTTATGACGTATGTGTATTATGGGCACAGTTGTTTTTTGTCAAGGTCAATGCCATAACGATTTTCTTTTGATCTCTTCTGTACAATGGTATGAATTATAGTTAACGTCTCTTTTTTTCATTTTCATTTGTATTATTAGAACTCCGCAGAATAAGTCTATATCTGTATATATAATTTTAATCCAAAGAATCGATGTAGAAATTTTATTAAATTACTATGTTTTGAGTGCGAAAAAGTTGTTTCTGAAATTATGTAAGCAAAATGCAGTTATTTTGCATACGTTAATCAGAGCAGAATCATAGATCTGTATCAACGTTTAGTCGCAACTTTTCTTCCTATTTGAGACCTACTTGACATTTAGAATGACTGTAATATAACAAAATATTTTATATTTCATTATCTAACGATGGACGATTTGTAAATGCTGTTAGTCAATTAATATGAAATTTAAATTTAATTAATCTATTGTATACATTTGAAATGCTAAATAAAACAAAATATATACTCATATCTAGAGGAAGGACTGGGATACGGCGACAACGATATTCACAATGTTCTCTTAATAGACAACAATGAGTATGAGATAGAAACTTGCTGGGCTCCAGGCTGCTGCATAGACATACAAAGAAGCACATTTATAGAACACTCTTGTGATGAAGAAGTATGCAGCTATTGTAGTGAGATTGAGAATGACAGTGATGCAAACTAAAATGAATTTGAATATAGTAGTGCAAAACTCACCAATGAAAACTTGCAAAAACAATGACTTTAGGAGGAAGAAGGATTTTCTGAAATATCTGAAATCAATCATTTTTGCCAACACTCACTAAATCATGATCTTGCCTTTGAAATTGCAGAGACAAGTTTTTACTAAAATTTTTTAGAATAATATAGTAAAGAAAACAAATAAATATGCCAAACAAATAATTGAGAAAGAAGTGCTAGCAAATAACGGAAATCAAAGATAGTTTCCTGCAACTAGATGAAATAAAAATATATACTGCTTTATGTATTGTTATGTTGCAGGTACAAAATCAAAACGAATACCGGGAAGTGACTGACTACAGAAAGTGTCTACTCATCATACATGAACGATTAGTATTTGTCCTCCCAATTATATCTAAAGTTACTAAAGCAAGAAACAAATGTAATAAAACTGTTCACAAGACCAGAAAAAATATGCCAAAAGTACTACAAGCTAAAAAAAGGGGAGATAAAATTGTTATCTTCCTACGGTTTATTAACCCGAAAAATGGAAGCATAAAAAAGATGTTTAAAAAATCACAAAACATTCAAATATTGACTTTGTTGATACAGGAAAACGAAAAAGAAACGGTACAGCAAATTTTAATAATATTCTCAAACTACATGTGCGATTGAGTACAAAGAATAAAATTTTCAAAGCATATTTGTACTAAAATCAATTGCGTTACCACAACAGGCATTGTATCATATTGTTTAGCTATCGCCAAAGAATTATTGCAATAAGTGGTCTTGCCAAATTATAATTATCATGGATGCGATCCATTGCAAGAAAATCACCCATTTGATATCTTAAAATTTGACGAAGCAAATCAATTCTGGGTTCAATATTATAGTTAAATAATATTTGTGCAAAACTAGATCATAGTATGGTGAAATCGAAGAACTATCTACATCGCAGGAAATTATTAATAATCATTTAAGAACATTTATTTATGCATCTAATCAAAATTATCTTTTAATTAATTCCTCGAAGTTCACAGTTGTGGTCTTTGGGAGTGCTCGAGTAAGGGATTTAAAGCGACAGGTGGCTGAGTCATTAAATATTGTAGTTAATGACTCAGCCAGTTATTGACTCCGTTATTGATATATCATTTCAGTGTTATAAACATATATTATACCGTAGAACTTCCTTAAACTTCTTTTTGTTTTTGTTATTTTAAATACAGTGTTATTGAAAGTTGTATAATTTTCTAAATTTCTTTTTGGTATCAAGCTATAAAGTGCAATTTTCATTGCGAGGAATTACATCTATATTGGGGAAAGTTGGTGGGATGGTAACTTTCCCAGCATATATTTTGAAATTGTATATCAACTCAGTGATTCCTATTTCCTTCTTTTGTAGGAGCTAGATCTGCTCAACAACCGAGTATTTTTAGCAGTTATTGAAATGGCTGCCGTTAAACATTGCTCTAAAACTGGTCTGGCTTTATATATATGTCGGCAAAATAAAAATTACTTTTGATTACTTGAACTTTATTTACTGCCATATTATCTACCTACATCTGTATTGGCAATGACAAAAGTAATCTGGTTATGTAATAATCAAGCACATACATAGTTCATGGCTGGCTAGTATTAGTATAACTTGCAAAATATTTAAAGATTTTTCTAATTGTATCATTTTATAGACTAACACATTTAGGATGACCAGTATGTTTTGTTTTTTTACACTTAGTTTAAGTGAATTGTAAGTAATAATACATCTGATACATTTAAATATAAGTTGATACATCTGAAATAATATGGTGTGATTTTTTTGTCTATCACTCTTAACCAAAACAACA